GCCTAAATGACATCTGATTACCTAACATGGAGTGGAGCAAGGTCTTAACCTAAAACAGCCTGCAGACCTCAGTTCTCAGCTGGAGAATTCCAGTGGGTTAACGCTAAGGAAATCCTTACATTTCCATTTCATCTGATACTGGGCTCAGTGTAAAAGAAATAGTTTCTGATTTTTCTTCTCATAAAGTTGCAGTTCCAATAGAATTTTTTCTAAAGCCAGAGAAATACAGGAAATTAATTTTAAACCTGGAGAATAAATGTCCCTATCGGTTCAAGTTTACTTTCGCAGTGTTTCTTTCCCTGAAAATATGTATCATTTGAGGCGATCGTGGTGCCAAATGAAATAATTCCAACCATCTAAAAAGCCCCGCATGTCAAGCCTCAGCTGTACAAACGTGGTCACGTTGGAGGTACCTGCTCAGTCACCAGGCGGGCTCCTCTCCTGTTTCTAGGCCCACGGTGGAAGCAGGCTGCTTGAGAGGACAATTAGGGAGATACTTGCTCTTAGAGAAAAACTATACACGTTCAAGTTTGTATATCCTTCAAATGCTAGGTTAGAGAACTTGCACAAAAACGCACTTCCACTGACCGGTGGTCTCTATAAGTCGTTGGTTCGGAGACAGTGAGGGAGCTACCTGGCATGGCTGTTTCACACATTAGGGTGCTTGCGGGGAGAGCCTACTACTCCCCTGAACCATGGTTCAATTTTAAGCATCACTGGCCGAGATGGGTTATTGTAACTATGTGGAGAAGGGCACTTGAGAGCCCGATGCTCAGTGTGTGTGAGGGAGAGGGGAGGAGGAGGAGGAGAATGATAGCCCAAGGGAGGGTATCTGAAAACCTTTGCACCACTGAACTGGCACACTTATCACAGGGTGACAGTCTATACCACAGGCCTGCAGTGCGTTGCTGTTGGTGGTGCATACTGCCAACTGGCTTAGAAAATGCAGATCCCCCTCTCAGATAGAGAGAGCAGGAGGCAGGATGTCAGCTGACTGACATCCCCCACAATAGGACTTCCCAGGCTCTGGATGCCAAGTGTGGCTCCTGCTGGGTCGGCCAGGTGGGAGGTAGCTCTTCCCAGGGGAGGCGCTGCTCTCCGGGCCTTCACCACGAACCGCCCCCCCACCCCAAACCCAGGCTGGCATTCAGCCAGAGGCCCCCCCCCCATCCCTTTCCCCACGATGGATGGCAGGAATGCCATCTTGTCTTTAACTTGGTAATTAAGTTCCACAACACAAAGATTTAAAAAAAAATTGAGTTGTATTTGTGGATCATCATCTTGTCCTGCATCTTGCATCTTACTAAACACAAAATAGAAAATGTCCTAGAGACTATGGTAAGAAAAAAAAAAACCAAACAAACAACAAAGCCAACAAAAGGCTTGGTTTATAACATTTAGTCATGAAGTTATCTGCATTATATGCAATTGAAAGAGACGATCTTAAGCTGAGGATTTCTTAAATTTACCATAATGATGAGCTGGACACTTGAAGTAAGAGCCCTTTGAAGCTGACGTGCTGCGGGAGGAAGCACACTCTTTCTTTGGAAAAGAGAAAGCCAATATATCGTGGTGGCAGAAGGAACAATGGAGCCAATGAAACAGAGGTCAGAGCTGAAGGTTTCTGCTAGAAGCAAGCTATACACAGGTATTTTAATTTTTTTTTCATTCAGACAGAAACTCTGCTCTGGGACCCGCTGCACTGCATGCAGACTGCTGGTAAGAAAAGCATTCAATTGTTCAATTTTTATTATTCAATATTGTATTAAAATTTTTTTAGGCTCTTCGGGTCAAGGCAACTTTTAAAAGGTTAAAAGCTATTCAAAAGGGTTACCATAACCATAAAAGCAAATGAGATTAAGCCTAAAGACTGATGGAGGAAAAACAATAATTTAGATAAACTGCCACCGCCTCAGAAATGTTTTGACTTTTACCAGAGAAAGGGAATGCAGAGATTCTTGGATTGGTTGTCATATCAAAGAGAGATTCATTAAATTTGAAGCAATTATTTTTGTGCTTTTTATTGTTTGGTGTGTTTTAGGCCCGCTTCCACCTTTCTTCAGTTACATTCTTTATAATGGTTTGGGAAATGTAATTGCTTGGCTCCAACTTCCATCTGTCAACTATTGACCTTGCTCGTTGGGCATCTGTAACATCAGACACTATTGTCATGGAAAGAATTATGATGTTTCAATCAAATGTATTGCAAAGTTAACAAATCCATAACATGGGCTGGGCCACATGGAAGAGTTTAGAAAATGTGTTTCAGAGACCTCAGGGAAAAGCAAATAGGCTATCCCCATTAATGGTGATCTCCATCGCTTGCCATTCATCGTGGACGTTATCGTATTACAACAGAAGAGCTAAATTTGAACCTCGGACTTGAAGGGGAGTACTTCAAATCAAAATGTGGGGTTCAGCAAGGAAGACCAAAACCACTATATGCTCCCAATGCGGAGTTCTGCATTCATACCCTTGATTGAGCTGGTGGCAACTTTGGGATATCTGCGTATGCCGATTCTCTTTAGTTTCTTTCAAAGCACATGAAGATAGGCTTTCGTCTGGTTTTTGTTGCTGATCTCCGGAAACTAAATCTGCCAGAGGGTGGGACTCACAGAGCTGGTAGATCGGTCAAAGAGGTGATTGCAGCAATCAGGGTTAGCTGATACTTACTCGAAAGTCTAAGCATATAGAACAGCAAATTTCTTGACATTAAAGTGAGAAGTGAGTTGATATAAAAATTTAATTTCATCTGCTTTGGAAACTGGGTCTGGCCTGGCAAAATTAAAATGGATAGAAATAATATTCTGGACCCTCAGATTTTATTTTCACTGTCCTGTGTCTGAACAAATAAGCATTCCAAGTAAGTAAGAGGAGCTAAAATTTCCATTTCACGAGAAATATTCCCTGACAAAGAGTTTTTGTGCTACATATCTTTCACTTTTATAAACTCTCAAAGGAGAACGGTTGTTCTGGACGTTAAAATAATCGGGTTTCTTGAATCACAAAATGGCAAAGCAAAGGTGATGCGTCTGAGAAAAGCTAAAAAAGCATGAATCAGTTTGGCCCTGCCTGAAGAAAATATATTATATGCAAACAAAAATTTACAGATGAATAAATTAGGGGGTGATTATTCATATTGTAAAAGCGTCTTTAAAGGATTCCCCTAGGATTCTTTTAAAAGGCTTAGCTCCACTAGTTCATGTAAGTGTTTGTGTGCAGATCATTAACTATCTGACAGGCAGGCCGGAAATGCAGGTAGAGAACCAGTGGGGGAAGGGAGAGAATGTTCAGGAGGCAGAGGAATAGCCGACAGACACCTGAGGCTTGCGAAGCCTCAAGATGAACGTTGATGAAACAATGATGGAAGTCAAAGTGAAAATATGATATTTATTTCCAAGTTATGCTTTATATACCAGGGCAGACTCCTTGGGTTCAGATGCCAGCTCCACCACCTATTTAGCTGTGTGACTTTGGACAAGTTGTACAACCTCTCTGAATACCAACCCTCTAGGGCTGTGTAAGTATTACATGAGTTCATATATATAAAGCACTTAGCACTGTGGCCAGGCAGTAAATGCTGTATACATGTTTCTAAGATGATTCTGGAACAGGCTATTACAAAATATCAGGTATTCTCTAAAGCAGGGACTATTAGTGTGATTAGGATACTGGAAGTGATTTAACAAAAGCAAAATACTCCCTCCCTAGCCCCCCAAAGAAAAAAACAAACAAAAAACCCCACAAAGGAACATTGAGGAATGAATACTGCTGTCTTTTTGGGTTTCCCAAGGAAGTCAATCTGAAATTTAAACTTCTTTGAAATTATTATCCTAATTTCAATTTTCCTAGGGGTTTGGCAAAATTTCCAAGATGGAGACACACATAGGGGCAATCAGCAACCTACTGTCTGTTGACTTTTCTATGTTAAAAGGCTTTGATTTACCTATTATTGTATTTGTCATTTTAAGAACTGTAGTAAACAAGTTGAAGTATAACTTTTTCATTTGTGGGAAAGAAAACTTTTTGCTTGTTAGGTTTTGCTTGGTTTGCACAAAAATGAACTCTTTCTATGCATCCTATCCAGTTCATCTGTGCATATGGAGTTGTGGGCTTGGAATAGACATTCATTGATTCTTTCCAAAGGAACAACCAGTAACGAAGTGTCCCAATCTGCCCTTCTAGTCTGATCAAATGGTTAACAGATTGCCAAACCAGAAGAATCAGCAGTGGTATGTGTGGGTGCAGATAGTGTGGCCCCAGGAATCTCAGAGTCAGGTAGATAGATGTAAGGAAGGGTACAAACGGTCATTGTCGTTGAGGTGGCCCATTTGGGGGTCTTGGCAGTTGATAATTGGCTTTACCATGTCAGTTCTGACATGGCACATGAGAAAGCCCAGACTACTTTAAGGGCCGGTCATGACACTTCTATTAAATTATAAAATTATTTCACCAAAATTCTCTTTGGTATCCCCCCAAAACTTTTCTGTTCAAGACAGGCCTCCTTGACTGACTAGCTCTCTGATCATATCAGAAGACCTACTACTTTCTCACATTCTATTCTGTATCCCAGTTGGATACAGGCTGAATAAAAATATGCTTTCTGGTCCTCACACTTAGTTTATATGAGTGAATGCTGATGGAAATGGGTAAGTAACTAGTTTTTAAGTGCAGGAGATCAAATTACTTCCTTCATAACTTGAAGTTCTTGACAGCTCTGGAAATACTAGGCTTTTTTTTTTTTTTTTTGCATGTTAAAGTGGGTTGATCTTTACCTAGCCTTATAGCAGATTGCCAAATTGTCAGCTTTCAATATATTATTTTTTGAAACAAAATTAAGTGATCTGATTCATTTTGGGGAAAAATTTCTCAAGTCAGAAAACTTAAAACCATGGAAATCTGTAAGTGCTTTTTGAGTTATATAGAGTAAGGGACAGAATTTACTTAAGTGGGAACTAGTTTAGTTGCTTTTATTTTTTAATTTTTGCTTGTTTTTTTAAAAAAATATGGAATGCTTCATGAATTTGCATGTCATCCTTGTGCAGGGACCAGGCTAATCTTCTCTGTGTCATTTGAATTTTAGTATGTGTGCTGCCGAAGAGGGCATTAGTTGCTTTTAGTTAAACATTTGTCTCTTGCTGGTTATTTCCTGTGTCCAAGGAAATATGTTAGTACCAAGAATTCAGATTTTGTTGAACTTTGCTTATTATACAACTTTGCCCAAAGCAACTTGGTTTCCCAGGCTTACATTCCCCTGTTATATTTTCTCACTATATATTCATCCTTCACAGCATGTAACACAAGTGTATTGAGCAAGGTATTTGTGTAATTATTTGTTTAATTCCTATCTTAATGGATAGACAATAATCTCTTTCATCATAGGGGCCGCGTCTATCTGGCTCACTGTTATAGACTCAGTGCTGAGCACAGGAACACACACAGAGTAGGTGCTCAAAGAATTTGTTGAATCAACAGATATTTGCTAGTAAATTTTCTGTGCTGATTCTGCTTAGTAGTAACGAAATATCTATCATATATATAAGTTCCATTGAAGTTTTTCCTATTTATGATTTTTTTGCTTTTAAATGTTATACACACACACACACACGTAATATTGTATATATATGTGATAGTTAAAATATTCAAACTTGTATAGATGGGAACTGGATGAAAAGCCAAATTTATCCTCACTGCCCTTTACTGATCTCCAAAGATTTCCAGAGTTAATGACTTTAATTGCTTCACTTTTTAGCTCTTCTGGTATTTACCATCATATTTCTAAAGACCACATTTTATTCTTGATTTTCTTAAGACTTCAGGTAGTATCTGTGGATTTGCAGATGAAAGATGTGAAATTTCATACACTCATACTTTTACTTTCTCCCTTTTTCCCTATTCTCCTCTAAGTTCAGGGTTTTTGTTGTTGTTTATTGTTTTCATTTTTCTATTAGTTATCTTTGTTACTTAACATTATACTTAACCTATGTTTTTTTTAATCATCAGCTTCAGACTGACTCTATTTTCCCCATACTAGGTGAGATGAGGAAATCAGTGTGCCTATACTTTCTTCTTTTCTTCTTCCCTGTTGACTTCTGTCAGCTAAGTTACTATATTTTACATTTTTTCAGTTTAAAGCAATTTATATGCAAACATTATTATTTTAATAATTTATACTTATATATTGTGCCATTACATTTCCTTCTATATCCAGTGTCTTTCAAACATTGTCTATAGTTTTATTTTAAACATAGGAATATCTGAAATAATCAATATATAAACATTATGAATATTACTCTTTCTATAACCACATAGTATAATTAAGCACATGGAGAAAGTAGTGTAATCCCACATAGTCCCAAACACTAAAGTCTGAGAGATTAACATAGAAATAATATAATTAATACTACATATTATTTATTATTAATATAAATTAAATAAATATGATATAGTTATATATTAATATGTTATATATATCAACAATGGCTCAAAATAATGTCATGTTTTAGTTTGCTTCATATGATACCAAGACTTTCTTTTACATTTATTTTCATATGTACACTACCATCCTCAACCCACCTCCAGGTTTTTTTTTTCCATAAAGTCCTCTGGTTTCCTTCTAATTTCTATTCATTACTTTTTGGGTGTACTCCTCATTCTGAGATTTCTTTCATTGTACCTCTGGATTAGATTAAACTGTTTCTTAGATTCCTTTTCTTCCTCTTTCTTAGATTATTTTTTCATATTACTGGAGTACGTCCTCATAATATTTTCTTTAAAAAAGGTGGATGAGGGGTTTCTTTAAAAACGGTGGCTCAGCTGGTTAAGCATCTGACTCTTGGTTTTGGCTCAGGTCATGATCTCAGGTCATGAGATCAAGCTCTGCATCAGGCTCCCTGCTCAGCGTGGAGCCTGCTTAAGATTCTCTCTCTCTCTCTCCCCCTTTGCCCCTCTCCTTGCTCAGACATGCTCTCTCTCCTTCTCTCTAAAATAAATAAATAAATAAATAAAATCTTTAAAAAAAATAATAAAAAAGGTAGATGTGGAGTAGACTATTTGAGTTCTTTATGTCTAAAATGCCTTTATTCTTCACTTAAATTTTATTTATAATTGCACTTCATATGGTATTCTAGGTTTAAAGTTGCTTTATAGGCTTTTAGGATCCAGTGTTGTTGTTAAGGCATTGATGTAGATCTGATGGTCATTTCTTTTTGAGCACTTTTTATTTCTCTCTTTTTAAAATCTTTCAGAATTTTTCTCTTCAAGCTTAGTTCTGAAATTTTACAAGTATGTATCTAATGCATTTTTGTCCACTTGCCATTTGGTGAGTCTGCCAATCGTTGAGTTGATATGTTTCCCAGATCCAGAAAATTTTCTTCATCTATTTTCTTTTGTTATTTCTTTGATTACTTCAACTCCTTCATTGTTTATGTTGTCTTCCTCTAAACCACCTTTTAGATACACGTAAGACCTTAATATGTACTTTATATCAGTGCTTTCAAGTTTTAATGCATGTGAATTACCCACAGATCTTTTCAAAATGAAGAATCTGAGTCAATAAGTCTTAAGTGAGGCCTGTGACTTTGCATTTCTAATGAGATAGATGATGCTGATCCTGCCGGTATGTGAACCACATTTTGAATAGTGGGGCTTTATATTTCTTGAAATAACTTTTTGTGCATTTTTTTCTTTTTTTTTCCCCTTTCCATTATGGAATGTTTTATTAATTTCACCTTCCAAATTAAATTTCAGTCTTTACTTCTGTCTGCTATGGTTTAGCTCACAGTTTTATTTATTTTTATGTAATTATATATATTTTTTAATTTTCAAGAACTCATAGCAGCCTCTTTTTATATTATGAACACAATAAATTTTTGAAATTTTGAAGATACTAATAAGAACCTTTTAAAGTTCTCTTTTCTTCCTTGCATTACCACTGTCTCTTCTGTGGTCGGTTTTTATTTACCTTTGTCTTTCTTCTTCTTCTACTCGATTTCCCTTAAATATCTGGAAATCCTTGGTTCCTCACTAATTTGGGGATGTAAAGACTATATTATAAATACATTATGTTTATGTTTATATTTATAACAGTTGGTCTTCATATCCTTGAGGTCTAATGAATCATTTTACCCAAAAGGCCTGTGTTCTTAATGAGGGGGCTGCCTTTAGGCTGTGTCAAAAGGTGAACGCTACTGACAAATGGCTTCTTTTTTTAAGCACATTAACAAGCATGGGGCACCACAACTGCCAAATAAGCCAACTATTCCATATACAGAGGAAGAAGAGGGGCTCTCTAGCACAGCTGTTCTGAAAATGGTCTTCCCGTTAACAGAACTTTATTACTACCCCTTAGCAATTTGTTCTTTCTGTACCTGTTTGGAGCCTCTCCAGATGTATTTTAAAGAAAATGAACACCACCTCCACTACACCTCTTTTCTATGTGTGTATTTTGGGTTGTGATTTACTCTGCTAGTGTTTATCCAACAATAAATCCAAACTACTTCCTAGCTTCCGAGACTTTGTCAGACTTTCTGGCCTGCTAATGTCATCCCCCTGTTGCCTCCTTTTTTTTTTTTTTTTTTTTGGCTTGTTTCAAGTGTTGTCAAGGATTTATTTATTTTTATGTATGAATTGTCATTTCAATGGGAATTTAGCATGGAAAGGAGGCAAAGCAGGTCCTATCCATTATCTTGAATTAAGAAACTATATGGCTATCTTAGAACTGTTCTAAATGCTTATCTGAACCTGGCTAACACTCATCTGGCTGTTCACAAACAGACAGACCTAACTGTAAATAGGTAAATTCCCATACAAGTTACCCAGACCTTGCTAATTATTCTTCATGGATCAAGTAGGATTTAATAGTGTTAAGGGCTTTGGATGATTTTAAAGTGTTCCCTAAGCCTCTTGGCAGTCCCTTGTGTGTACAGAATAGTGTGATCACAAAAGAAAGTAACTATAGAGAAGTACCTAACCTAGAAAGGCTAGGATAAAAATTAAAGTTAAAAAGGAACTTGAACTTGTCTATAATTTACTTTGGTGTGTTACATATTTTTATGTTAGTTGAGCTTGACCAACTCTACCTTGGATTTGCCAAGAAAATAATTGATGTAATCACAGAGCCAAGAATGATAACATGTGAAGATCTGTGGAGGATTGGCAGGACCCCAGATCACTGGGGAAAAGCCAATGGAATACCTATTTTTAAAAGGCAATAAAAAGTTGCTTGAGAATTAATGACCTTTAATAGAGTGAAAAAGCAGAGCATACGGATTACCTTGACCCAAATAAGTTTTAGATAGTCTTACATAGTAATGGCAGTAATGAGTAGAGGAAATATGTATTCATATATTATACCAACATAACATTAAGTATCCAAAACTGGATAAATGTTTTTAATGTAAAAATATTAGATTTTTATTTATTTTATTTGTTGCTTTCATTTTGTTAGGATTAAGTCCATATCTTGTCAAGCATCTAGATAATTGAAGAAATCTAGATTTTGGCCACATTTCTCGATTTTTGCATAGACATGCATTGTTATGTAGATGGTCCTAATAACATAGAAGTATGACGTTAAATTGAAAATACTAATAGAACCATTATTCAGATGCCAAATCCTTCCTTGATAACATATGTAGGGTATATGTTAAAATTTTGCACATATGACTGAAACCTGATGGTGGCTGCCTTACTCTAGAATTTAAAATTAAATTCAAGATGATTTCAATAACCTAAGTCATTATTCTGAAATAAAACCAAATAAAACAGAACAAGTGCTGATATAAGTTGTTTTAATTAAGAAAGAAGAAGGAATCCCCACATTTTTGAAATAGGGGATAACTATTAGGCAATAATTGAGTAGAAGAAAAAGATTAGGAGTTCTCAGAGTCCCCAAGCAGTATTATCCACTGACTATAATTTGATATCTTTCACACCTCTGGCCTTTGTCTATAATGCTTCCACTGCTGGGATCTATTTCTTTCCCTTCTTTATCTTGCAGATTTTCCACTGGTCCTTCCAGTCTGAACCCTGCAAAGTCTTTCTTGCTATACATTTTGAGTTAGTTTCTCTGTCTTCTGTGTTCCCTTGATATTTTGGACATTGA